TTACATCAGCATCAAAGTCAACAAAACTTCGACAAGCCACGTAGTAATAATAACAACAGTATTTAACAATTCGTTCGTCCATGTCTAACGATAACCGCTGGTCACAGGGTACCCCCCGACATATTACACAATGTGACAAGCGTCCACCAAGCCCTCAATTTGACTGACCACGTGACCACAATAAAGGGACACTAGGCTACTCCCAGCCAATCAGCTTCTTGACAAGCCGGCAGAACTCCCTGACAGTTTTAATCCCCTACGGCCATAAGCCGCTTGTGAAAATAAAGTTAGATACCCATTGATACAGCCAGATAAGGCGGGGAGGTGTTAAAATGTTGAATGGGTGTCAGTTATGTCATTTCTATAAACTTAAACCTCTATGCAAGAAACTGAAACAAGCGTATCAAAAGGAGTTAGAGACTTACACAACGGGCATCTCAAACAAAGACCGGACCTAAGAAAATAATTTCTTTCTTCCCACATTCGGACGCCATTTTTCGCGCCAAAGTAAAGAAACTGGACGGACGTAATAATATCTTCATCACTTTCTTCATTTCGTTTGTGGAGTTCACTTGGACAACTTTCATCTGCTGCGTTTTTGGGAGTGTGTTTTCCAGTTCTGTCTGCAGTCTTCACGTCGAGGATTTTGTTCCTTCGTGGTGTCTATTTTGTTGATCTCTGACATTTGAGAATCTTGCAGAAGTGTCTGTTTGTTTGTATCAACAAATCAATAGTTGAACATCTTGTGGTCACAACGATACCCGGGAGCACAGAGCCAGGGTGAGTGCAAACATTTCTCTATTTCTTTTTTTTTTTCTAGTTTTGGATTGCTACAGTAACTTTTGCTAAAAAAAAAATTTCAGACCCAGATTTCATTTCTTTTGTTGCTTTCTGTCTAATTTATTTTTCTTAATCATGCTGTCAATGATGATGCGTGCCCGCTTTGAAATTTCGCCTTAAAGTAGCAGCCATGTTGTTCTGCCACCCTTCCGATTCATTTTAGCAGCACGCCAGTTATAAATTTTCTATTTCTTGCCACGAACTCTCTTACACACATACATACACACACATAAACACACAAACACACACACACACACACACACACACACACACACACACACACACA